TTTCATCAGATCTGAGGTTTGGATATCCTCAGGAAAGATTGAAGCTCGATTCGAATTCACTTGTGAATAAGAATGACGAGGAACACCGCGATGAGTCGTAGCAACGTTGCGACTGATTGCGAGCGGGATTGTAACTTAAACGTGAGAAATTACGAACAAATGGGAAATTGCAGCAATTTCTTTTCCGTTCTCCCTTCGAATAGAAAAGATGTCCGGGAGAGAAACAATATTTTCACGGTGTGAAATTGCTACGGTCGAAAACGATCGAAATACCGGTGACGAGGGGTGACAAAACAATAACCAAGCCGCAAGCTAGCGAATTGCAATTACATGACTAACTCAGCAACTGCAAGCAACCGACAAACAGCCATGGTACGATTGGCCTATCAGTGGGTTTATTGGATACTTGTGGATTATATGAGCGGGTTTTAGGGGTCTCGCACCTGCATCCGGAACAACCGAGCCCCGACACATCGAAAATCGTGTAATTTCACTGGGAATCCGACCAGCGTGAAATGACTGGTGTAACGACGCCTCGTTGAAAAGCACATTATCTTTGCCGAAAATTCCATTAAATCGAACGTAACTCGGCAGATAATCGGGGTGGAACGGGGCAATTTTAATACGTTTTCCTATTAAAAACAAGTGCTAACAGTGTCGATTTTCGTCGCGATATTTCAATGGATTAGACGAAGGAAAAAATTACCTACACCTCAACCGTATTTTCGAAAAATTGAAAAAATTGATTGAGAGCTAAATTAACGATTGAAATAAAAAATTTCTATTGTGACGTCGTCCTGTAAAGCTACAATTTTGAAATAAAATAAAAGCGACGATTTAAAAACAATTTTAGCGAATAAGTAGCTGTAAAAGAAGGTTTTTATTTGGAGATTATGAAGAGGACTAGGAAACGATCGACTGCGTTCGTTTATTTCGCTTTTATCGAGGTCTCTGCAACCGGGGCCTGCAATTTCGCGCGGTTTGGGCGCAGCCGGTCCGTTTCAATTAACGATAACGTCATTTAGCCAGTTCACAAAGAGATTTGCAATTTCGCTGCGACCTCGAAACCAGACGGTTGATAAAAATGCAAACGTCTCGACGTAAGAAAACCTGCATGCGTTAAAATAACGAGAGTACAGTGAAGAAATTGAAGTATCGAAGACATTTCCAGATTTTCATTAGAGAAACTGTGGAAACACTGAATTTTATTTCAATTCAAATTAACAAAATTTAATCTATTTATCAACGTGGAAGAAATATAAACCGATTGTGGCTGAGATAATAAAATTGAACCTTGAATTTACAGAGCCATTACAACCTTGTCAATTTACAGAGGAAAATTGAATATTTAATTTAAAAAAAATAGTTTCTATAAATCCTCTTTTTGCAGAGATCCTTTGTTCTAGCATTGAATAGTTTCACGTTTAAGACACGGATTCGCCAGTTACTTAGACGAGTTCATCAGTCTATTGGAACCCTTCCTTTTCACTTACTTGCCATACCCTTCTTCTTTCATTCTCGTTTCGATGCCTTGTGACCACCAAACATCCACGAGAAAAGCTTAAAGGCAGAGAGGAAAAAGAGAACGCGGTAAGATGGAAGGGAAGCTTAGAAAAAGCGAATCCGAGGATCAAAAGGAAGAAGAAACAGAAGAAGCTATCTAGGAAGATAGAATCTAAAGGTCAGAAAGAAACAGAGAAATGAGGAATAAATTGTATGTGGCCTTATCGAAATGTCAAGGAGGGTTTAATTGAATATGTTAGATTTTAATTCTGGAGTAAAAAAGAGGTTATCGAAAAGGTTAAATTCTTTCGTTTATAATTACAACACTAACATATACAATACAATGCACTATGGAATTTCTTCAGTATTTTCAGGCTTAAGAAAATAACGATAAAAATATCCCAAGAGACTTTTTCCATGTATACTGCAACAAATAAGTACTCACTAACTTCTTTAAAATTCAAAATAAACAATTTTTCTAATTTCAATCTTAATAAAGTTACCAAAAAAGTTAGAAAAATTATTTTCACCCCTATATTAACACTGACCTCGCAAAAACTTAACGTCGATAGTGTAGTGGTCAAGGAACTACTGATAAAAACATTCCACATGATTTTTCATCGATGGATCAACGAGAAGGACGAAAATAAAACTTCATCTCTGTCGAAGCAGAAGAAGGAGAGTGCCAAGACGAAACAGTTAACACGTTTGAAAAGAAAGTTATGTCTGAGAGGAGTTGATAAATATATTCGACCCATCCTACACGGATTAACCAGATGGTAAAACCCGCGGAGGCGCGCGGTGGATAAAATAGCGTGCAGTGTCGTGGATAGAAGCTGGCTCCCATCGTGGCGAGAGATAACGCGGTCTCGTTTCTCGCTACATAAACTCATCTTCCACGGACGCAGCTCGGCGAGGACCGACCATGGCTAACGAAAATCCTTCGTCTTCCAACGAAGTATAGACCGGCTGGGACCTCGCTCGACCGTGTTTTCTTCGTTACTGCTCGCGAAAAATGTCGAGAGACCATCAGAAGCTGTTCAACTGAGATAAATCGCCGTGCCGCAGCGGTACAGTGGCGACGAGTTAAAAAATGGAACATCGTTGATCATTGGAATTCGTGGAACAACGATAAACACGGAGAGGAAAATGGGGAGTTTTCTTAATAGAATGGCGATTCTGCTCGATGCATAGTATACATGTTTTCTTCTTTTTAATTAAATTCTTAAGGAGTAATTGACACGAGGAGATTTTTATTTTTATGAAATTCTAAAGAAGGGATGGAAAAGGGGAAAATTTATTTTTTATGAAATTCTTAAGTAATTGACATGAGGAAAATTTATTTTTCATGAAATTCTAAAGAAGTGATGGAAAAGGGGAAAATTTATTTTTCACGAAATTTACTTTTTATGAAATTCTTAAGTAATTGAAACGAGGAAATTTATTTTTCATGAAATTCTAAAGAAGCGATGGAAAAGAGGAAAATTTATTTTTATGAAATTCCTTAAGAAGTAATTGAAACGAGGAGATTTTCATTGTCACGAAATTCTTAAGAGGTAATTGAAAAGAAGCAAATTCAGTATTCCCTTTGTCGGTGGTTGAATTGATGGAATGATAATTAAGCTCTTTATCATTTTGCCCCTTCCTTTGTAAGCTCGAGGAACTCAGAACAATCAAAACCTGCTCGTCTATTATGAATTTTTAAGTAAAAGGGGGAGAAGATTTATGGGGAGCTGATATTAATCATATTATTATTAATTTTAATACCGATTCTCTAAAGATTCTTACTTAAACAAACAACGTTACTTAAGCAACTCAATTCATTTCACAAATCCACTTAAAATTAGATCATTCCAACTCGTACTCGCTAAATTTCCAACAAAAAACTAAATTAAATATCAACTAAATTTCTTCGACAAAAGTACCACCTAAAATCATTCTCCGAGCTTATACAAGGAAAGAATCCTAATATTCGCGTTTAACCAGCACACGGTCCAGCCAAGGGAAGGATCAAGTTTTAATTCGCGAATATTTTCATTCGCCTATTTGCATTTTATGCAAATTCAAAGTGGAGATAGAGAAAGGTTCGTCCAGAATTTTTCTCCGCGACAATTTTCGACCGAGCGTTGGCACTCACGAATAGACTCGAACGTCGTTTCGAACCGTCAATTGTGAATCTTAAATTAGCGAGACAAGAAATGTGCCGTTTATACTCCTCGCGAATTATTTCTAAAATTGTTTCCAAAGCCGAGTGTAAACATGTCGTTTCAATAATTTCAACGAAAGACGTTTCAGCTCTTGAATTAAATTCATCGAGCGTTGCAGTGATGGCACTGTTAGTATTATGAGGAGTGTAGCGTGGGAATAGCTGGCATTACGCATGGAAATGCACGCGCGGAGAGAAAATTCGTGTAGAACCGTGTGGAAGCTTTCAAATTACTCGAAACGCTTAAGGAAGTCGTATGTACAGCTCCTTGTTGCAGTTATTTGCGAAGTAAAGATGATACAGCTGTTTGGTTTTATCCTTGCCAGTTATATTTTTCGCTAACGTTGATAATTAGGTTAATGTCGGGGAATTGTCGGAAGGAATTTCGGAACGAGGGATTTCAGACACTTAACGTTGTACACAGATGAACGTTCGTTCCGGCAAAATTAGACGGAAACTAATTCTGTTTGAGCTATGTTACGCGAATTTGTAAAGAGACGTGTGTGCACAACTCGTGTTCTCGCACGTATTTTCTATGGTTTCAAGGAGAATTATGTAGGGAGGAGGTGTGTTTAAGAAAAGGGGAAATATTGTAATTTGAATATTTTCTAAAATTAAGGAAGGGTTACTTTAATTACGTATTTATTCTAGAAAAAATAAAGTACAAAATGTAACTTGTAGAAGTACATTAATTTGGAGATTGAAGTCATCGTAGAGTGGCCAGAAATGATTTACTAAAGAATGCGTTAAAATCTACTTAACCCTGGAATAATTCAGTTATCTACCATTGAATCTTATATTTTTAAATTAATATAGTTTCAGCAGAATATTTCTCATTTCTAAATATGGGTGAATTTCCACCCAGAGTATAGTTGACTCAAGAAACTCATAAGTAACATTCCACGGTTAATTCTTTCGTCCAACTAAAATCTACTTAACTCTGGACTAATTCAACTCTCTGCCGTTGAATTTTACATTTTTAAATTAACATAGTTTCAATGAAATATTTCCCAATATTCAGAGTATAGTAAACTCAAGAAACTCATAAGTAACATTCCACGGTTAATTCTTTCGTCCAACTAAAATCTACTTAACTCTGGACTAATTCAACTCTCTGCCGTTGAATTTAACATTTTTAAATTAACATAGTTTCAGCTGAATATGGGTAAATTTCCACCCGCGGTATAGTTAACTCAAGAAACTCATAACTAACATTCCAGAGTTAATTCTCTTCGCAACTTACCAAAAAATGTCCCAGATGAAAAGATGATAATTTCTCGTCCACTTTCAGGTCTCCTTCTTCTCAACCAGCCCGGAACTCTCCAACAAACAACGCTTCGAATATTTCACTCGCACTATACCGAGCGACCACTATCAAGTAAAAGCTATGGTGGACATCGTGTTAAAAATGGGATGGAGCTACGTGTCCATCATATACGAGGAGAGCAATTATGGGATAAAGGTAAGCTTCGGAACACGACACACTATCTCCTAACTAAAAAAAAAAAAATTTGTTTAAAATAACACCTCAACATTTTCACAAATTTTCAACACCTATCCGCGTTGATTAACGCCAAGAATTTATTACACGATCACGCGATCAGGGGATATCAAGAGCAGAATGATTACCACGAAAGAAATATACAATTAATTAAGACTCTAATGGAAACGAAACACAGAACACACTGAAATCGAATATTCGTTCGGGCACTCTCTACGCACGACAGTCTAGAAGAATATTTATCGTCGAACTGAGGCTTGTCTCCTTCGAAACACGAAAAGGGGAACGGGTGGGGTGTGTAATTCCAAGAATTTGCGTGACTGATATCGAAATGTGCTCGGTGTTTTTGTTCCTCGGTTTTGTTTACATATCTTTGCACGGACCTTCTGAACTTGTAAACAGAGAGTCCGTATAAACTTTGCCTGTATATTGTACGACTGAAAGTAACAAGGAAATATCCTATGTAGAAAAAAGGCCGTAAAATTCTTCGTCGAAACGTTGGAAGAGAAATACGAAGCGAACGTGATTTTGTATTATACGGTGAAGAATCGTCCTACAACACAGTCAGTTCGTTCCGCGTTGTATCGAAGACGTGTTAAGCGAAATTATAGATTATTAGAAATTAGGGGAAAGTGTTTCGTGCATGAAATACTACATAAAAATAATACAAACCTGAAGAATTTATTTTGAGTGTTTCTTAATGATTTTAAGAGTTCGTGTATTAAATCAAAGATAAGATAAACGGTTAAACAGAATTTTTACAAATCTGAAAAATACAAATTACAACAATAATAAGCACTTATTAAAAAGCAAATAAACCTTATTAATTTTTGTCGTCACTGTCGTCTTGGGTGTGTGTATTTCTTAGTGTATGAGTGCGTGTGCTCAGTGTGTGAGTCAAATATTTTTTAAACGAAACAGTGTAAGAATGCATACTTGAAACATTCGTGCTATGTGAGAGTTGCCTAAGTATATGAAGCTGTGCTATATGAAAACCATTAAAAAGACTACACTAAGGAGGACAGTCGCAATTTCTGCACCGTGTTACACTGTACTATGTGTAGAAATGAATTCTCTCCGATTTCTGGATACAGTCAAAGTTTCATTTGAAAAGAATGAAAACAAATCAATCGTCAACATAATTTCCACTATTAAATACAAATCTTGCCCAAAAATTGAAAATTCCGTTCCATAATCTGAGTTGCTAATAACTCAACTTCAATGATCGATTCTATCATTGAAGAATAAATTAAAAAAAAAAATGTCATTTTTCTTGCAGCTTACGATAGAAACTCGGTGGCTTCGAATCGATTATGCAAATTCAGCCCGAAAAAATTCATTTCTACACCTAATATTTGTAATGTAACAATAAAAAAAAGAAAGAAGATTGCTTTTAAATCACAGTACGTTCGTTTATTTTTATTCACAAATTACAACCCTTTTGTACAATGTTCGTTTCATTTTCGACGTTCTATCAAGGATTAAATGAATTTGGCCGCGATGTACGGCGGAATATCTGTCGTTTAAATGTAAATTGTTGATCGACTAATACGTCAATCACTTCGCCGAGATAATTATTGGATTTGTACGTAATTATCGGCGAAAAGAGTGGCGG